TTGGTTATAAATCTTGAACGGTCGTGGGTAGTGGGGACGGGGGCCCGGTGCCACTTGTCCTATTCATACTTGTAATTCTTAGGTCCTGGTTATCCTAGTGAATCTTTTCCAATCTACGCAAGCAAGTATTACATGTTCTTCAGTAGTAGTACTAAGCCGCAAGACAGCTCTAACTAGGAAAACTTGATTCATACAAAAAAGCAAGCTAGCTTATGCCTCACACATGTAGTAGTCATAACCTCCTCATAAGATCGAAGGGGGACTCACTTACTACTCTTTTCTTACTGTTCCTGTTTGGGCAGTCTACTGGGAAGAGCTGTCTACGATCTTGCTGGCAACGGCCTTGGACACGTCCTTGCCGATGTCGCGGGCCACACCACTGATGTCCGAGATGACAGCGCCGCTGCTACTGACCGCCTCCTTCATAGCACGGTCGATACGCGACTCCTGCGACTTTAGAAAGGGTGCCAGGAAGTGCATGTAGAGGAAAGACGCGCCCATCGTCGAAGGCATGAACAGCCACAGCAGGAAGCCCAGCTTGAAGGCGTAGTAGAAGGGAATCCAGTAGAGTAGGAAGTCGGCAAAGATCTCGACGAGGTTAAAGCAGGCGTACACGACCCAGTACGTGAGCCACTGCACGTCATCCTTCTTGTCGTCAGTCTCGATGGCCTTGAACGAGCAGTAGGCAGGGTACACGAAGCCCACCATGTTGCAGATGAGTCCCGCGCCGAAGCCGACGAGCAGCAGCAGCAGAAGCAGCGCCGCGCCACCAGCCACCAGGTACAGCTTCTCCACACCCGTAGCGTCCTGTGCCTGCTGCAGTACCGGGAATTTCTCCAAGTCCTTGGCCCACTTGTCCATGTACACTTGCACCTTCTCCATTGCCTTCTTCTTCCTAAGTCTGTATGCACGAGCCTTTTTTGGGAGTGCCTACTGGCTGGACCAGGATCGGTTGTCTCGGTTTGGACCCCAAACCGTTGAGAATCTGGGTGATCTTGCAAAGCACCCTTTGTGACATATTATAATGTTAGGAAAACTACTGGTAAACGGATGTGTGAAGATCTCGATATTGCCGCTAGCTACCGTAGTGAGCCGATCATGCTATGGTCCCGATCGTACCTACTTAAGTAGAACATATTTGAGTGGATTGTCGCTCGCTTAATGAATATTTTCCAGTTTTACCCAGTGTACTGTAAAAGGGTGGTTCCTGTAAGCAACGCTATCTTCGGCTTTGATCCGTTGTCCAAGTCACTTGGGTACCAAGTTTGTGTGGCTACCCCACCTACCATCTAAGTTTCCCACAAGTTGCTGTACAATGTGTCGCACACCTCCCCTTCGCGCGGCGCCTCCGGCCGCGCTACTGGTCAGGGTCGGGCAGTCCGCGGCTGTTTGTAAAGCGGGGCCTTGCGTGGGGCGAGCGAGGAGCGGGTTGTAATTGTAAAACGGTAACGAGCGGTAATCAGTGAAAAGTAAACTTGGCTCCTTGTTCTTTGTAGTAGGTGGGAAATATACGACTATGAAACTAATGCGCCGGGCTAAAACGGGGAAAGGGTCGATCGCGCTCATGAGGATGACACAATCTCCTACGCTCACCTGTACTCCTGGGCATGACTTCCAACCCAACGTGACACCCGGTTGACTCGATACTCAAGACAGTATATAGTTCGTGTCATCCGTCCTTGAAGTTGGCGAGGCAAGTGCAAACTCCCTCCTCAAGGTCTTCACAATTCCCTCTGCACCAACCGTACCTCGCAGTCGGCGCTTGAACAGTTCCCACTTGATACAGGTGGACCCTGTGTGCTTTAACATGGACTTTACCTTCTTCGCATCTGGTGCACGCTGCTGGAACGACCCCTGCATTCCCGGGTACGGGACATTCTCCCCCACTTGAAGTTTGCCGTCCTCGGCGAACGGTACACCGGAGGCGAGGAAGTAAAGTCCGGGTAACAGAACCATAAGCAGCACGGTTAGGAACAGACTTATCGTCGTGGTCACGGCGGCAGCAAACGCCAGTACCATCGCGCCCGTATCACGTGCTATCTTGAGACGCGTCGCCTTCTGGTACCACGCAAACACTTCCTTGTTGAGTACACTTGCTACCCAGACAACAGCATGGTTCACTATTCCACCTCCAACGTCTCGATCGTCGGAACTTTCATCCAGCGCGGCTAGTGGTCGCTTGAAGCGTTCTGAGCAAAGCTCCTTGTCACACACCCTGCTCTCCTTGGCTACCTTCGTAACCATTCCTTTAAGAAGGGTACTCAGTTCCTCCTTCATTGCCAACTTTAGGCTCGACGGAATTATTCTTATCATCTTCTCTATATCCATGTCGTCTTCGACCCTGGTCTTCTTATTGCAACTGTTCTCCTTCCAACCCACATCGATGGGACCACCCGCGTCGACCTCTCCGTAAGTGTTTTGATCTTCTTGCATCACGCCGGTAGTGTTCACTACGTCACGGTTAAGAGTGTTCGCCTTAACCACTTCGTCGACGGGACCGTCCGCGTCGACTTCTCCGTAAGTGCTCCGTTCTCCTTGCATCACGCTGGTAGTGTTCATTACGTCACGGTTAAGAGTGTTCGCCTTAAGCACTTCGTCGACGGGACCGTCCGCGTCGACTTCTCCGTAAGTGCTCCGTTCTCCTTGCATCACGCTGGTAGTGTTCACTACGTCACGTTTAAGAGTGTTCGCCTTAAGCACTTCGTCGACGGGACCGTCCGCGTCGACCTCTCCGTAAGTGCTCCGCTCTCCTACCGTCGCAGATGTAGCGTTCTCCGTGCCTAGCACCTTCGCTTTGGCTTCCTTGACCACAGTCAGACAGTTGCGACTCGAAATGCGACCCCAGTGGTCCTCTTCTTCGCTAGGAGTGTTGACTTCGAAGACTGAGCTAACCCACTGATGCTGAACCATGATATCACCTTCAGAGCCTACCGTCCTTTTGTTCTCTTTGACGATCTCTTCCTCAGCGACGGAACGCTTTTCAAACCCATTTTGAAATATGCAGACGGACGAGCCGTGTTCACCACCCACCGCGGAATCTATCGCGCGCGTGTTAGTGCCTTTGGTTGCGGGTTCTCGAACTTCGCCATCGTTCTTCATAGCAGGTTTCTCTGGTTCTTGCTCTACCAGTACCGTTCTCCTAACAGTAGTCACTTCAGCCAATTCTTCATAGCTATCTCCACTTAGTGCTTCTTCACAGTCTCGCGAGACACGTAAGGTACCAGGAGTGTTTTGGAACACTGTCGCATCGTATCTGGCAGGTTTGATCTCCTTGCGAAGAAATAACTGTTCTTGTTGCACCCTTCCGGTTACTTCTTCTACCCCATATTTTCGTTCCACACTCCAGTCTTCACGCGCACCTGGAACCATTGACGCACTGTACCATACGGACTCAGAGCGTTCTCTGATCGATGACTGTTCTTGTTTCACTTCTTCAGTCACACGCGCTCCATTTATAATCGATTCACACACCTCCTGAAACGTTCCTCTCACCCCGGGACGCGCTCCATATTACTCTGCCAAATTGTAAGCACTCCTCGCTGTAAATTGGCTGGGTGGTGTCGGTGTCCAAATTGGCTGGGATGGGAACACTTCCTGAGTGTGTTGCGTTGGTTGCTCCAGCAGTCCGACTGCTGGTTGAAGTACTTGGCCGTTCGGTAATAGTAGATAGCCTCTGCGTAAGACACTTCCACCGCATACAGCAAACGACAAATACAAATAGTGTGGGGGGATTACATGGACGCTGCCATCAGGCATCGTGACCACATCGACGATAGAACAACCACAATACGACGGGATGGCACCGTCCCCGTGTTGTCGACTTGAAAACACGCATCCAGGACTGTTCCACCAGCTGTTTGACGGCTGAGACTTCTCGGGCCCCCAGCCCCAACAGTGCTGGGTCCACCTCGGGTCTTCCATCTTAGTGTTCGTAGCTCCTCCAACTCTCACCAGACAACGCCTTCTCCAGCAAGCAGACTACCCTGCTTCTCCACCAAATGTCGCACACCTCCCCTTCGCGCGGCGCCTCCGGCCGCGCTACTGGTCAGGGTCGGGCAGTCCGCGGCTGTTTGTAGAGCGGGGCCTTGCGTGGGGCGAGCGAGGAGCGGGTTGTAGTTGTAGAACGGTAACGAGCGGTAATCAGTGAAAAGTAAACTTGGTTCCTTGTTCTTTGTAGTAGGTGGGAA